GATTAAATGTATACATTTTCTAAGGGAATGTGCATATAAACGCACACATGTAAATATATGCGATTAATTTGTCTTCTTCTCCAGCGTAGGCACCTATTTCTGGTTAACCGATTGAAAATTATTTTGCCAAGTGCCACATCCATACACCTACACCGAAATCTTATGTGTTCGGTATGCCATGTATACGCATATATGTGTACAAAAGAACAGTTCATACGATTTGTATATATTAGACGCTTCTTCACGATGTGCTTGGTTTCATCATCTTGTTGTGCCTCATTATTGCTCCTAGCAACCAATAACCGCTGGCCTCAGAATTAGACACGTATATCTCTTAAAGATGTTTCCAGGAGAATAGGGTTATGCCGGTATGCCGTGCAGAATCAGTCACAATAAAGGATGTACTGGACCTTAAACTACTGACAGAGAAAAGTGAATATACACTCCAATCGCAAATAGGCTCCACCGGTCTCCTGTATCGCTATTTGGTTAGATTTGGGTTGCTTGTCAGTTTCATTTCAATGAATTATTGAAGTGGTTTGCAAACGGTATGCACTAATAATAGTGATTTGTAGACTTAACCAACTTTTAACCTCGGTTTGAGCTCTACGAAACATATGTCATGTAGTCCGAACATCTCGTTGTAATAGTATACAAATCGAGCGCAAAATTTACATCAGCATCCTATATTTCGACACTTGCAGCATGGCTGGGAGACTACGTTGAATTTTTGTATGGGAGGAGTGTGATTAATGATACAAGTTCTCTGGGAAGACGATTCGAAAAACGGCTGTATATGTTTGAGATTTATACAAGAGTATAAGTACTATGTGAGCAAACTTATACTTCTTAAATCCGATTTTAATGTACCAACAAATTTGAAATTCTATCGTTTCGTATATATCGCCAAACATTCGGCAAGGGAACTTATCTTGAGGGTTGTTGTATGTACAGGTTTCAAAGATGCATGTTTGTATATTCATTCTTGTAATAAATGGATAATACGGTACAGGCATCTTCCTAGCAATCGTATTGTCGTGCATTTGGTGGCGGTTCCCCAACAAAAACAATATAAACTTCCAGACAACGGTACGGATTTTGAAATATCTACAATTTTACCCGAATACGGTCACTCCATGATCCAACCGCAGATGCGACTGGAAAGTAGCCTGAAACCGTGATGTGCCCTCATCGCCCTCCTTCAGACCTGTTGCTTTGAACATGTCAATGATTGACCGGCACTCCATACAAGGTTTTACAACACTCTCTTTCTTGACACTTTGATCTTCGTTTTCGACTTTATACCAAATCTCCTTGGTCAAATCCACTGCCTCGTTTTCAGAAATGCTGCTCCCGTTCTCTTCATCAATCGCGTGGCGCAGCTCGATGTGTAGCTCCAGTAATGACAAGGAATCCACTTCCAGGTCGCATTCGTCGCAACGACATCTCTGCTTATTTCCACGCATACACACAATAATGATATCATGAGTTCTTTTAACATGATCCTGTAACGCAGCCAGACTGCTGTGATGCGAGGGTGTATCACAGGCGAGGCATGCGAATGATAGGTGGTTGTTGGTTCTAGAGAAGACACTAATCCTTTTCCACCTAGGTGTGTAGCTGTTGAGGGTATCCAAGAAATTCAGATAATCCAGAGGTAAAGACGGACTGTCGGCCAAAGCATTTTTGGTGGGTGCCGAACGCCTACGAGTACTAAAACGGTGCAAGAGCTTCATGGTGTTACTGGAGTGATCCGGTGTAATGTGAGCATATAACAAAAATGACCGCAATTTATTTCAAGAGAGAAAAAGAACATGTCAGTGTGGTCTGCAGATTGCAGAGCCATGGGCGTTTCTTTATCAATCAGATCAGCCCGCCAAAACTGAGCGCGCTGGATCTCGAGCCAAATCGGTTTCAAAAAAAAACATTTCAAAAAAAAATGTATATTATGTTTTTTAAAAATATATATCTTGAATCATCAGTTGCGGAAACCAGAGACCTAATAAAATATAGGGATATTACCACATGTGTTTCTGTTCCACACGCGTGTAAGCATACAGAATATCTAAATTAGAAGACAAGTCGCGCGTGTTTGGTTATAGTCTCCAGACTTATAAAATAAGGTCCATGTGAACCCGCAAATATCACCCGGTACACAGTGAAAATTTGTTGCTGATCCGTGGAATGTACAACCATCACGGTAGCTAGCTATACCACTAAATTTATATCAAGTCTTGACTCGCTCGACTATCCCTCATTGACATATCCAACAGAGCATTGAAAACTAACAATCTCCTTGAGCTACCAAGAATTATTCACTTTTACAACTTGCAGTTTTATACCAACTGTACCAAATGGGGCGTCGCTCTAACTGTGTGGCCACTAGACTCGCGCCATATGCAGCGGATAGCCTAGCCTATATATGTGCGCAAACCCGTTTGTTGTGAGTCTTCTAAACAGTTCTGATATTGGTTAAAGACTGAAACTGTCAATAGCAATTCTAAAATTTGGTATTCGCGTGGCAGCCTTAATCTGCCACATGTCCTGAATATATGTAGTTATGAACGTATCGACAATTTTCGTGCGGTTTATTGAGCATATAGGAAAACTCATTCGTGCCTAGCTACACTCGACACCGGAAGTTGAATTCGAATGTAGTAGTGAAATCACCTCCAATTTATATCTTGGGTAACGTTAAGAGGATGAAGTGGGATGATTTGTACTGTCATTGCAGGATGGACACGAGTTGTCCAACGTATGTATTGATACTACTGTTTTATATAACTATCCAGTAGGTACAACTCCTCGAAATATGCTATATTTCGGGACCTGCCATGGAAAAAATGCACGTGAAACACGACACACTAAGTACTACACCGTGACCAAATTGGAAATAGCGAAATTTTGAAAGTCGGATCTTAATAGTGACTCAAAATCAAGTACATAGCATCACGGTTCAGAGTTCATTTTTCGGCGACCCTTTCTGGGAGGCAATGGCCTTTTGCACGACCTCAACTGTTTTTTCAATACCCGTCCGGCTGGCGACATCCAATAAGGATATACCACGGGCGTCTGTGATGGTTGGGGACACACCGCCTTCATCAATCAAGATCCTGAATGCAACGGTATTCATGTCAGTGGAATGAAATCTAGAAAGAGCGAGCCAAGAGCACGCTAAATCGACATGCGCCTGCCTTATTTGAATACGGTATGAGACATACACTACAGTTGGCTCGACTAATTCGCACGCCAACCATGAAAAATGACACTGACCGTACCTGATCACCTCGGCGTGGTTGTCCGTACGTCCCCAGGCCGCTCGGAAAATCGGCGGATACCCATCGCTACAAATTCGATTGAAGTGATAGGTGGTCAGTATATGGTACTCCAAGGAGAAAAATTCAGAACACGCGAGTTGAACGAGACTTGGCACAGCCCCCTGTACATACCGGTGGACGTAGTCTGGAGAAATATTGTGCTTCAATAGCACCGATGTAACTGCGGGTCGCCCTTGAAACCCGGCTCCATCATGCGGAAAGTACCTGCGAGGTGGGCCCCGTTCAAGCTTAGATTACAGCGAGCATCGAGTCATTTTTGTGTACTCATGCACGTCATTTCTCGAACGCACATCAGTATTATCAATGTCAGTACTATGTATTCACAACAGCATGCACACATGCCGATATAGAATTTTTCAATATCTAGCATAAGTCACATCAGCGCCAATGCTATACTCACCCATCTTTCTCTCCTATCGTGTAATCAGCTCCTTTACTCAACAGAAAATCAACCACCTCGGCTTTGCCTGCCAAGCATGCCGCCATCAAAGGCGTCTGTACATTCAAGCAGACATTGGAAAAGTTAACTTCGTGAGAAATAGATATTCTCAATTTTTCGCTCGATACTGAGGGTAATAGTACACTCACTATAATAATGCAATGAAAGTAGACGCTGCGGTAGCCGAGATATAGTACATGGAATAGTGTACTAACGCAAGCACGTGTTAAGTCGACCCCGTGTTGATTGTTATAGTCATGATGCAACATCAATTTGTTGTGCACAATTAGTCACGAATGCCTTCTTTTGAAATGGCGTGCGAGACTCGTTCGTCGAGGATACAAGTGCTCCCGATAGCTAACGATAGGCACACCAAGAAACACAACAATACACGTTTTTCTACAAATTGCAGCGTCGATTTCCTGATTTGATAGACCACAAATCAGAACTACGACTAAAACAACTACGATGTTAATTTTTTGTTTCAGCAATGATTGTGAGGATGTCTATCCCTCATTACTATAAGCTATAACATATGACATACATACATACAGGTACGGACCAACAC